AGAGAGAGAGAGAGAGAGAGAGAGAGAGAGAGAGAGAGAGAGAGAGAGAGAGAGAGAGAGAGAGAGAGAGAGAGAGAGAGATCAAACAGGCAATGGGCACAAGCAGTTTTTTTTATGTATGCGAAAGCAGAATCATGGGCAATACAATGTATGCGACTCTAACAGTCCTCTGCCGACATTAAAAAGGAAAATGAGGAAGCAAAAGAAAAGAGGAAAAAAGAAAAAGGGCAAAAACTCTCATCTGGACATGGGTACTAGTCAATCCCCTAAAGAAGTATAGGGCCCCATTATTTCACTATGCCACCACAACCCCAGCAAATTGCTGGATGATAGTCATTAACTCGCTCCCAGGAAACCGCCCAAGCAAACCCTGAGCAGAAGCCGTCTCTGTGTATGCAGCAACGCAATCCCCTGCCCCTGCTGCTATAGGCACCGGCGCCTGATTCCCTACCCCCTGCCTGATTTTGTCCTTAGAATCCAGTGATTCAAACCCCCGTTCAATTGATCCGCTTTGGCCATTGCCAGTGTCTTGAGGAATCGGAAAGGGATCCAGGTTCACTGCCATGACAGCCTCGTCGCCGCCACAGGCCTGAACATAGTCGGCGAGATGGCAGACAGCAACGGGCACAGGCTCGTGGCTGTGGTCGCCATACTCAACAGGGGTAGAGTGGTCTCCTGTAACTACAAGGGTGTATTTCCCACGTCCTTCCCGCTCTGCCTCCCATAAGATACGCCCTAGTTGTCCAATCATGTGATCGACGGCCTGGAGTCCTCGCACCTTCAGCAGAGGCAACTTATCGTGCCCAGCATCGTCAATCGCCTTAATGTGAAGGAACCCGAAGTCATAGCCGCCACCTTCCACTGCATCTCCAGGCCGCATGCTTTCTTCACCAACCGGCACTGCCCTCCCCTCTCCAGTTTCATCGTCTTTCTTCTTCCCAGCTGGCTGATCACAAGTCAATGCCCGCCCGATTGCTAAGGCCTTTGCCGTTAACAGTGTGCGGTAATCCCCGGTTGCCTCGGGCACGTCTAGGACGTCGATTCCAACTGACAAACCTAGCCCTGCGATGATCTTCGTGGGGGCTACCATGCATGCTCTCATGGCATTCTTGCTTGCAAAGCTTGGGACTTTGATGCGGATCCCGCATCCTCTGAGCAGTACCACATTCGCCGGGTTCTTTCCCTCCCTTTCGCGCTGGGCATTGATCCAATGGCCTCGGAGGCGCTTGCGGATTTCGTTCGACACTTCGTTGACGATCTCGGCCGTCCTTTTAGCGTCTTCCGTCTCATCCAACGGCTTTGCGTCCAGCAACAGCCTGTTGTCTTTCAAAGGATCGGTCCCGGATATGTTTCCACTAAGCCCGGGCCCACGGACCACAACTCCACACCTATGTTCCGTTGCATACTTCAAACTGACAGTGTAGCCGGGAAAGGAAGGCAGCTGGAGGCCATCCAGATCACCGCACAAGATCGGCCCAAGCTGCTCGAAGTGCCGATCTGCTCTCCGTTTCACTACAACACCCGTCTGCTCGTCCACTGTTGCAAAATTAGACTTGAAGGCAATGTCACCCGGAGACATTGCGAGGCCTGCCCCCATCGACTCAAACGCTCCTCTTCCGCGGTAGTAGATGCGTGGATTGTACCCGAGGATGGACAGATGTGCAGTGTCGCTGCCGCAGGCTAGACCCGGTTCAACCGGGTCCATAAGCCCATTCACACCACCGGCTGCAATCGCATCAAGGTTTGGCACACTGGCAGCTTCCAGTGGGGTAAGATTGCCCAATCTAGGGATTGCCACATCGCCAACCCCATCCACCAACACGAATGCCACACGCTCAGGCATTGCGATCAAAATTGACAACAACTCCGATTGAAGTCGACAGCTCTGGTCAAAATTGTCCGACGTCTCTGATCGAAGTCAAAACTTGATGGCTCTGGTCAAATTGCCAGATGTCTCAGATCGAAGTCAAACTTGATGGCTCCGGTCCAAGCTGACAGCTCTCTGGTCAAAATTGTCAGACGTCTCTGATTGAAGTCAAACTTGATGGCTCTGGTCAAAATTGCCAGATGTCTCAGATCGAAGTCAAACTTAATCTCCGGTCAAAGCTGACAGCTCTCTGGTCAAAGCTAACAGCTCTGGTCAAAGTTGACAGCTCTGGTCAAAGTTGATGGCTCTGCTCATAACTGCTGGCTATAGTCAAAGATGATGGCGCCGGTCGAAGTTGACAGACGTCCCATATCAAAGTTGATGGCTCTGGTCAGAGTCCCCCTCTCTGGGAAAAGTTTGACGTCTGTGATCGAAGTACACAGCTGGAGTCAAGGGTGTAGTAGTGTGTCATTCCTTCGCGACTTTGCAGCTCAGAAGTGTGTTCCCTCCTCATCCAGTTGGCTGTCCAGATCAATGTTTAAATAATGTCTCACCGGCCTCCTCTCCTCCTCCTCCTCTTCCACATGGACTCAGGGAGAGGGTCCTCTTGCCCATGGACTCAGGGTGGTGCGGTGGGTTGGGTGGGGTGGGGGATGCTCCCCAGCATACGTCTCGCTGATTAGCCATGCACAGCATCTGCCAAGATTCAGCACGCGCCCGGTTGACCCTGTGCTTTTCAGACGGCAAAGAGAAAATTCAACCGTCAGCAGAAAGCATACGTCCACCACAGTACTACCGTCTTCCCCCGAACACAACGCACCCTTATTTTGGCCGTATCTGGCCGGAAATATAGCTTGTATACATTCATTTTTAGGGTGCGTTATGTTCGGGGGAAGACGGTAGGTAGGTACCCTAGATCAGCAGAAATAGAGGAGGACAGGTCCAAGATCAAGGAACCACTATCACCATCGCCATCGGCAAATGCACCTCCCTATTCACATGCGTTGGTCCTTAGTGAAGTAACTCATGGCCCAGAGTCTCATGTCATTCCTTCATTGCGCAGGAGAACCCCTCTGTAGTCTACCAGGAGCTGAGGCCTCTCTTTCTTTCTTTCTTTCTTTCTTTCTTTCTTTCTTTTTTCTTTTTTCTTTTTTCTTTTTTCTTTTTTTTTCGTTGGAGCACAGGTCCTTATGGTCCTGGCTCCATATCCATTCTAGGGAGCGTCACACAAGCCTACGTTGACCAAGCTGCTACCTTCCAAAAGGCTCGCAAAAAAGCCTTCAACTGCGCCCTTCCCAATGTGGCCCCTGCCGCTTTTTTTTTTTTTTTCGCTACCGGCCCACGTCCACGCCCAAATGGAAATGCTCTTACAAAAAAAAAAAAAAAAAAAAAAAAAAAAAAAAAAAAAAAAAAAAGGCTCTTACCGCGTGTATAGACTGTGGGCCTCGCTGCAATGCTCTCCAAATGTGCAAAACGGGACTGAATCCACCGCTAGAATGTGGAAAGATACATGGCCATTTTTTCTGTCGTTTGTGCATGTTGACAGTAGTGCAGCGAGGCCCTGTATACCATCAAGAGGATTACTTAGGCCCTAGTGTGAACCTAAGTGGTCTGGTTTGAAGATCGAGATGCGCATGCCCTTGCGCATGCGTGGTTTCCCCCTGACAGCAACTAACTACTTTGACCGAGCTTGGAGATCTTTTCCCTGAGATTTTTTTTTTTTTTTTTTTTTTTAAAGCTATATTCTTCTCTCAATTTCAAAGATTGGGATCAACAGGTATGTAGGGTTCTTGTTTTACAAGCTGGAATTTCTGCCCTCGTATATCGCACAAGGTTTTCCTGTAGATATTCAACGGGCATCCGGTTCAGATTCACGAGGAAAGGAACACCCCCCCCCCTTTTTCCGCCCCCCCTTTCCTTAGCCCCCCTCTATCAGGACCCACCACCCATACCTTCCTAGATCCTCTCTTCTCCAGTCTCTTCTGCCCCACCTCCTTTCCAGATCCCTTTCTGAATTTCCCATTTGTCCATCAATAGGTTTAAGATAAATTTATAAAAGTATTTTCTTTATTACAAAGAGAAAATAAATCTTTACATGACAGATAGATAAAAGGCATATAACTAGCTTCAACAATAACATTTAAAAAAGCCTTGTTTTACAAGCGGGAATTTCTTCCCTCTTATATGGCACAATATTCTTTCTGTAGACATTCCACGGACATCCGATTCACATTCACGACGGGAAGAACCCCCCCATTCTGCCCCCCCCCTTCCTTACCCCTCTATGAGGACCCCCGCCCCCAGACCTTCCTGGATCTCTCTTCTCCAGTCTCTTCTGCCCCACCTCCTTTCCAGATCCCTTTCTGATTCTCCCATTTGTCGCCTTCCGGTACCCCCTTTAAGAACCCCTTTAAGAATGCCTGTGTGTGATTACATAAAATGGAACATAATAGAAGAATGATGTGAAGAAGATGATTTGCGCTTTACTATCATGGCGTACATCATCTCTCTTCCCCCCCCCTCTCCTCTCAACCCCCCCCCCTCAACTCCTTGACGATACTCACCGCCTAGGAACTCAACCCTTCCAGTGCCCTTGTTTGTTTGTTTGTTTGTTTGTTTGTTTGTTTGTTTTTTGTTTTTTTTTTAATTTAAGAAATTTGAACCATTTCTCGATTTATGCGTGTCATCCTTGAATGCGCAGGGGCCGTTTGCTAATTACCCTTGTCTTTCTCTGTATCGTTCCAATTTCAACGGATACGAGAATGACCCATTGCAGCTTCTCTTGCAAGAATACAGGAGGCAATACCAAATAACTTCTTTTTTTTCATTTTTTGCGGTAATCAGGTCCCCTGTTAAATGTGGTGTTCCATGAGAGAGAGAGAGAGAGAGAGAGAGAGAGAGAGAGAGAGAGAGAGAGAGAGAGAGAGAGAGAGTAGGAACATTTTTCTTATGATGTGTCCGAAGACCCGCATGGTTGTACTCTGTAGAACTCAGCGCTTTTCTGAGGAAATGCTGTCCCGTTGATCAGTTAGATGACAATTCCAATCCCTCTCTCTCTCTGTTTGCTGTGTTTTTTTTTTTTTTTTTTTTTTTCTAAGTAGGTATGTCATCAGCCAATGTTGTAGCTATGCCGTGGTTGCCTTCTCTCTCTCTCTCTCTCTCTCTCTCTCTCTCTCTCTCTCTCTCTCTCTCTCTCTCTCTCTCTCTCTCTCTGTGCGTTTTGTGCGCCTGTTTCCCTTTCTTGATCGTTTGAATCTTGGACCCGTCTCGCGCTGCTTTTCGCGCCTCGTCTCTTCTCGCTCATCAACCCTGGCTCTCGAAGCCCGGTTGATCCTCCGATCACCCCGGCTCACCAATCAGACGCGTTAAGCAAGAGGATCTTCCTATT